TTTTTTTCCGCAATTTTAACTATAAGTAACTTTCTTTATCAGAAATCGTAAAAAAATGTAATATACACGAGACATTAGAGAAATACATATACAAAACAAAGTGAAAAAAAATAATTTACATTAACAGTGTAAGTATCGTAATACATAGACCGCTTATGTACCAAATAAAATTAGATTATTTTATTTAAACCTAAACATTTAGATGCTTACGAGTTTCGACTCACACCGTAGCAGCCACTTTTGTACTATGATAATTTGAATTTAAAATACCGCTGACGACTGCTCGTCTTTGATATAATATAGACAACTCACTTCACTGCAAAGTATTCTGAGCGTCAGACTGCAGTGGCAGTCCTGAATTCCTTTATTTATTAAAGATTCGGCTTTCAAAATCAACAGCTTAAAATATTAATACTCAACAAAAAACCTTTCTAAATTGGGGATTGGAACTGCACATCGATGTTCTCTTTTAGAAAAAAATTGAATAAGCTGACGGTATTATACAAAGAAGTAACATATGTTCGTCATCCTATGATTATATTCTAGTTTGTTTGTTAACCAAATTGACACCAGATTAATAAAGTGTAATTAATATTAATTTAACTATGCATTATTACCTGAATTAACTGTGGAATGAAAATCAAATTGAGAAGGAGTACCAGGTCAGACATCCCATGTCATCATCGCTAGGGTCAAAATTAACATCCTACTCTTTCTTATTTGTTAGTCAATCTGTAGAAACAAACAAAAAATAATTAAATACTTTTAATCAATATTATTTTAAAGGTGATTGCTAAAATAATATATACACAATGTACAACTTAACAGAAATAGTTTGGCCCCTGGTATTTCGAGAGAACGGGGTAAGATACAATGAAAGGGTATTCGAAGGAAAGAGATGCAGTTTATCGCTGGGTATGTGTGCTGGTTTTCAAATCGGACCTGTATTGTATAAGTAAACTCACTTCAGGATGTCTTAATTGTATCTGTAATATTTACAGGAAAACTAATAATGCACTTTACATGTAGTAGTTTCACCTATTTTGCATTTTGTTTTTTTAATAACTTTTGAAAGTATTTTACTCTCTAAAATTAGGTGAAAATCATTGTTAATTATAACTATCGTTGAAGTTTCGGATTTAAAGTTGTTCTCTGATAATAATGGTGGTTTTCACAAAACCACGATGACCAAACTAACCATCCACACTACAATATTATATCAATTGTGTTAATGGACCATTGCTTACATTACATTATTTACATATTGCAGGGGCCGAGCTATTTCTGTCAGATAATACCATTTATTCATAAGGAAATAAACAGCTGCTACGATATTTAATCCCTATGACTCTTCTTTTCACTCTCAAATTAGTCACATATACGTCATTTATATTACTTTACAAAAAAACAAATTAAAATGTATTATGCTAAGATTCACACTGCTGGATTTTCACATTAATTCTGCTGTTTTGCTTTTGACATTTCCGAAACGTTTAAAATCTGTCTTTTAAAAATAAGTTACAAATCTCTAAGAAATTGAGGTTTGTAGGACCTCATCTACTATTCTTAAATGTTACTTACCAATTTATGTCATAAATTTTTCCTTTAACAATAACACAGTGTCTCCATTCCCAATGACAAAAGGCACCTTCACTCTTTCCTCAGGACTGTTGGTACTGCTACTTTGCACAGAGAAAGAGAAACTAAAATTTCATCACATGTGATCCCAAGTTTTTATGCTGTTGTAAAATAAAATATTATGAGAAAGTATTCAGACTTGATTAATTTAGCCTCTTTACTAAAAAACATGCCTAATACAATATTAAAGTATTATAAACAGTTAATTAAAAAGAAGACTCACCCCTAATTACCCATAAAACTTTTTGAGCAGACACGTGTTTCGCCCACTTAATACGTGGGCATTATCAACGCTTTTTTTAAATTTATGCTGTGGACAATATATACACATTGAAGGGAATACTATAGGTACACTACAACTGACTACAACGTTTATTTATACTGTGGACAATAGATAAACGTTAAAGGAAATATCGTAATCTCTATTCAAGTACAATATGCAGTAATATTATCTATGGCAGTAATAATGATGTTATGCATTCTCACCATTCTCACCTTCTTTAACCACAGAAAGTAGCGTTCGTAGCGTTCTAAACGATTTATATCCGTTGCCATATTCACACAACTCCACTTTACTGATCGTATAAAAATATGCTATTTTATGAAAATCATAATTGTTGTTTGGTTTTTACGACTCTTTGAAAATTAGTTGGCAAATGTCAAGTATTTAATCAATTGTTTTCTTTGGTAAAGCTCATTTTGGAAAAACAAAAGAGGGGAATTTCTAATTGGCTGAATAGCTGAGAAGTTCAAATCGGTTCAAATGTCAAAAAATATTTGTCTATCAACAGTGGATCAATTTGTGTTTGACGAAGTATTGCTTTGATTGTTTCAGTCAAGTTTTAGTTTTAAAGTTGATACTTTGAGTTAACAAATTTTACAATGGGTAATTCCTTTGGACATATCTTCGAGAATGCCTATAACTTATATATGCACCCCGATATTACACCTAGTCCTTTAGATGAGCCTAGTTACGATCCAAATTTTGGATTTCCTAATGGTCGTGTCGAAAGAGGTTATTTATGTAATATTTTTATTTCGTAAAAATAAGAGAAACGATTCATGTTTTAGTTTCAAAGGCAACTAAAGAAGAACTGATCTCTGCTAAAGTACCACTTAATAAACGTGATTATTGTGCACATTTAGGGATTGCATATAAAGCTTGTAGGAAAGACCATTGGCCATTTGCTGTGAAATGTTCGCATGAGAAACATGCTTATCTAAATTGTGAATATGAAGAGTAAGTGCTATTAAATAGCAATTTTATGCTGTTGTATTATAATATTTTCACTCGGGGCATAATTGAATACAATTTATTAATTGAATAAAACCTATACAACTTATAAGGCACCAATAGCAGGGCCCAAAGCGAGATACTAAAACGTAACAAAATAACTAATTATTAACATGACTAAAAATGCTACTAACTCACAAAGCACAACGATTTGAAATAAATCTAAATAAAAAACAAGTACTTATTACTCTTCTTAGTCATTAGTAACTAACAATTGTTATACCTTACTGTTTTCTTTAATTCAAGTACAGAAAGCATGATAATTAATTAAATAAATAAGAGCTACTATTTGAAAAAAACAATATTTTCAATAGTAATGAAAATATTTCCCATATTAGAAAATTATGCTGTTATTGTTGAAGGGCTTTCTTAGTAATCTTTATCTTAATTCCAAATGAATTCATTAAATTAGCCATATTTGGATGTTCTCAATTTAACAGTTTAAAAACTGCTTAATAGTGTATATTTGTTTACAAGAGGTTGAATGATGAGGATATTTTTTACAGCTTTGTTCTTCGTATGAAGGAATATGAGCGCGAAAGAAGACTACGTGTAAAGTGTGGACCTCCAGTTATTGAAACACCTGCTTAAAAGTAGCAACTCGTAGTTACCAGAGTAGATTATTTAAAATTGTAAAATAAGACACCTGTTTACATTAAATTAATTTGTTCTATAATTTGTTTTCTTTTCAAGGCAATCTAATAATCTTAGTAACAACGTTATCCCTCATTATTGTTGGGTTTATTTAATTCAATTAAAAAAGTTAAAATTTAACATTTTTTCTTACAATAAATAATAATGGATTGTTTATTTAACCCAATAATTTATTTTGAACTTGAGAAGCGCAATTCTTTCTTTTAAGTTCTATTTCATTTGAGTATTGACTTGCATGATCGTTCAATCTTTCCATGAATTTATCATCCTCCAACACTTTCTGTCGGACAGCGTTTGCTTGTTCAGATGAGCCTGAGCTCAGCATCGTTCCAAGTGCAACATATGCCCTGAACTGAGCTTCATTATCGTCTAATAAATTAATCATATCGGGCAATACATTTGCAAGAATCAATATGCCGAATTCGTCGCTTTTCTTCAAGCAGAGTACGGTTAAATTCAGTAAGAGAGTCGCTAGCGCTATCTGTAATAATGTTAATTTAAGTTTTACAAACAATAACTGATAAAAGATTAAAAGTTTTACAGAAAAAATGACACATGTATAAGAAAGATACTCGTTAGTGTGAATAGAAAAAACAGCTGTACATATTACCGATTAGTTTACGTCAACGATTGTTGTATCTAATATGTAATAACCATCTATAATTACCAAATAAATTAAACAATAATACATATTCATTAAAAGACAATGATAAGTATCCATTGTAAGGTCAATGTGCATTCGTTTCTATAAGCGAAGGTTTAATTTGCTCTTGATCATCATCATAAGGTCGTCAGTCCTAAGACTGGTTGGACACGTACCTCCACTCTTTCCTATCCTGAGCTAAACTTCGCATTTCCCTAAAACTAGAACAGGCCACATCCTTAACTATTTGCGAACAGTAATCTAATCTAGGTCTACCTCTACCCCTCCCAACTCCCATCCCTGCCTCTAATATGTCTCTGACTAGACCTTCATGCCTAAGGTGTCCTACCAACCTATCTCGCCTATTTTTTATTGACTTCCATAGAGTCCTCTGTTCTCCTATTCTTTCCAATACCTCTTCATTTCTAACCTTTTCTACCCACGATATCCTCATCATCCGCCTATAACACCACATTTCGAACGCTTCTAACCTTTTCTTTTCCGCCGCTCCCACTGTCCATGTTTCGCACCCGTACAACGCCGTGCTCCAAACATACACCTTTAACAACCTTTTTCGAATTTCTAAATTAACCGTTCGCGAGCATAGAAGTGACTTCTTTTTATTAAAGGCGACACGAGCCTGCGCTATCCTCTGCTTTATATCCCTACTACTCCTTCCCTCCTGACTTATCTGACTTCCTAGGTATCTAAAATCAGCCACTTCTTCTAATTTTTCGTCTCCTATCTTTATATTAGCTCTTTCTCTACTTTTTCTTCCCTTGCATGCCAGTATTTTTGCTCTTGATATGTGAGTATAATTAATATGCCATTCAAGTTATACGGTTTCCATTATGCGATGCCCACTATCGAGTGTCTATCGTACAAGTAAAATTTTATTGCCTGGGTCTTATACAAACAAATTAAGTGAACTGTTTTAACGGATCAGTGAAAATGTCAAAAACATTAGTTTGTAATGAACCACATTATTAAACCTCTACTTACAATTATGTAATTGCAAAACAGACATTTTATTTGAAGACATACCTGTGAATTTTTATTGCCAACATTTAAGCCGGTGATATTTTCTAATATTTCAGTTCTATTGTGAAAAATTAAATTCTCACCAAAAGAATGAGCGAAAAAATTACATAGAGCTCTAAATGACACTAATGTGTTATTGGCAATTTTACATTCTGGAGAAATGAAACGTTTAAGTTTTTCTATTATAATACCGCCATGGCTGGTACATATATATTTGTTGTTTGTTTCATTTCTTACGGCTAATCGTATGACATCAATAACAGGAAAAATTATTTCTGAAAAAGAAAATACATTTTTTTAAAAACTACATTTATCTGTATATCATTTCTGATTAAATGCTGCAAAGTGGAATAATATAAAAATTTTGTGAGCTTATTTAAATTTTAAACATGTTTTACCATCATTCCAATTTAAAAGTTCAAATAACAGTTCTAGATATTTAGGATCAATAAATGGACCATTGCACATTTTAATAATGCCTTCGAAAACAGATTCATCAAGTTTTCCTTGGCCCTCGCTGAGTTTGCCATTAAATTCCTTTAATTTAGCTAAAATTAAATTTGGGTCACCCATTTCAAATAATCTGTATGTAGTTTGAGGAAAAAGATTCGTTTTTGGAACACTTATTTGGTTAGTACTACCAGTGTTGTAACTATTTGCTCCAGTAAAAGGATCTAAATTCGCTCCTGAAATAGAAGAAAATAAAAAATATGTATACATACATATGAAGGCAACAATAGAAAATCGACAACAAAATATTTAATTAAAAAATTAGAGCACACTTCTAGCACATTTTAAGGAAAAATATCGATTGATAATTTCTTTTTAAACATAATAATAATAAAAAAGTTACACAATTGATTTATCAAAAAAAATTGCTTAACATTTTATTATACACTCAGATCTGTAGATTCGAAATATTAAAAATACGGTATGCAATTTTAATTATATGACATAGAAATTTATTTTATTTATTGACAACCAGTTGAATATAATATTTTAGATAGTGCATCTATCCCTCTATAAGCTATCAGGGTTACCTGAGCTTAGGCTGGTAATAACTTAAAACTAATACTTAACTAATGTATAAGAATGTTATATAATTGTTTATACTTTTCGTAATTATAAGTGATACGCGACATCTCAGAACGAATAAAAAGAAAAATTTAACAGAATTAAGATTACATTAAACCGGACAGAATATTTTTTTTTAATTTAATTTTTTTCGTCTTTTCGGTTTTTAAATATTTGTAGTCATTAATTAATGAGTCGAATACAGTGATTGTTTTGCAGTAACTATTTTTATTACTGACAGATTGCTTCCTAATAGGAAGTAGTATATGCTAAAATCTGGTTTTATTCGTTGATTTAATGTAAAAATTATAACAAAAACATAAAAAAATAAAACATAAACGAAAATGAATGTTGATCGATCAAAAAATAGGAAACTAAGCTTTATTGAATTTTTATAAATTAAAGTTCTAGGCTCAAACAAACATTATCAATAAGAAAAAACCATAGGTTCTTTCTTATAACCGTCAGAGTATATCCTACATTTTAGACATTTAACGATGTAACAGTCATATTTAATTTAATAGTTAATTAGAATTTATTTATTATACTATTACACATGGGCATAAATGCCAATTGGGCTTGTTTGTATAGCGCTTAATAAATTTGTTGATTTTTTTGTGTTTTCATATGTACTTACGTATGGCGATTTTTTTTAGTATTTTTATTTTGCTTTTTTTTATTGTTAGAATTCAAACTTTATGTAAATGGTGAAAGCATCTTACCATTATTTGTAGGAATACTGCTTGCATTACTCGGTTTACCCCCACTAGGCGTGTATCTCGATGCACCCGTGAATGGATCTATATATTCAGAGTTTACCGGTATATTGTTACTTGCACTTTGGCTGTTTTGTAAAATAAAATTGACCACCTTAAAAAAGTATCTAATTATTTACATAAATTATGAATTTATCTTTCCAATGATTCAGATTTTCCATACTTTATAATAAATATCTGCAATGTCTCAACTTATATAATTTGAGCATATATATTATTACAAGTACATCTGAAGTATTGGTTAACTATACTAATTTATTTCTTTTAATTACAGGCTTATTATAAAAATGTAATATTTTATTTAATAGGATCCTATAATATATAGGAAACAAATTAAACTTATTTACCTGTTCCAAATAATCTGCAGGCAACATATTTTTTTGCAAAAATGCGTGTGCTGTTACATAGGGGTCTTCTCCTTTATTATACGGTAACTTAAGGGGTGGCTTACCGTCTTCAACGTCTACAGAAAATACGAAATCGTAGTACTAAAATAATGAATATGCTTTAGAGGGTTAATAACGGAACTGTTAAGGCGTTTACTTTTCCTTCATGCAATGTTTTCCCTTCGTTGGCTTTGTCAACGCCACCCAAAACTTCGCCCACTTTTTCCCAGTGACTATTTTCACCTTCGTCAACCCATGTGTAGGCAACTACTCCATTAACTTCTCGAATCATCTTCATTTGCCCAGCATGCTTACCGGGTTCATATAGAGCTTCGCAACCTGGCAAACTGTCGTAATAAAATTAAGGATTATTTTTTTTTATTTCCTTAGTGAAGTTATTTACTCTGAAACTTTATAACCTCCTATTTCTTGAGTGGCTTGCTTTGATAAAGCGTTAACTTCCTCTTCAAAAGCTTTTAAGGTTTCTTCAGACGCATAACGGCTCTCATGTTGGGTAAAAACTCTTACAACACCATCACTAAAATGGCTTTATAATTAAACTAGATTTCTTTGAAAATTTAATTATTAATTTGCACCTCGATCCAGTAACAATATCGCCATTGCTTAGACATTCTACACACCAAACAGACTGTGCAGGTAATTGGAAAGTTTGGATATTTTCACCATCTTTCCAGTATCGTATTGTTCTATCTTCATCTGATGTAACAATAGCATTTGGACCATCTGCTTCATTTCTAGCAATGCTAAAATGGAAGATATTTACTTTTGTGCATTTAGTAAAACTAACTGCAACTATTACAAATAAAAAAGATTTTGTAGTACTTTAAGTTATTAATGCTGCAAATATTACCCATATATGTAATTAGTGTGTCCATAATATGTTTGCAAATTTTTCCCATTATAACTCCAAACTCTAATTGTTGCATCATTGGCTACACTGACAAAAAATTGTAAATCTGGTAAGTCTACTAAATTTCTAACACAATCTGTATGACCTAAAAGTAGAAATTCACATCTGGAATATCGAATGATGATACTGAAGTTTTAAAAGAAATTAATTACATTATTGAGCTTTTTAATTAGACTTTGTAGATTGACAAGTACGTTTAAGAAAGTCAAGTTTGTCCATACATGGAAATTATAATATGGAAAAATAGAATAGCTTCAAGTACTTAATGATACATGTTACAGTATTGATAGAAACCTCAATAAATACTCTAAATCAACCTATTTCTACGAGAATAAAACAAAACCAAATATCTAGATGCAAACAGTGTCTCGAGTACCTTTAAACAAATGGTGTTTTTTAAAGTTTGTGAATCGCAGAAATATTAAATAAATAATATTCACAATTATTTGCTAAACTATTACTACGCATATGAACCTCCATGTCACTTTCGTAGTTAGTAATATCTTGTACTTGTGCTAGTATTCAATTAGTAGCACGGTGTACTCTTGTAAGGTTAAAATTTTTACATAGGTGAGGTAAACAAATTTCAAGTTTTAAAAATTTGTTTAAGAAAAAAATACATATCACTTTTATAAATATAATTTTGTTTTGTAGTAGTTTATGGTGCAATTATATTCAATACTTAAAAAGTTTTATCACAAGCTATTTGTTAAGTTTAAAGAAAATGAGGGTAGTTATAAAATAATAAGAAAGCAAATAAATTAAATATTTTTTACCGTGAAGAATTTGTATCCTATGACCATCTTTGGAGAATATCGTTATGTTTTTGTCTGCAGAAGCTGTAACTATATTTGTATTGGGTAACTGAATAACTGCCCAAACAGCAGCAGTGTGTCCAGTGAATGTTACTAATGAGTTTGGTAGGTTGTTTATAGACCACAATTTTGCAGTATTATCCCAAGATGAACTAAGAAATGTATTCTTTTCACAGCCTTTTGATAAATAACAAACTGAAATAGAATAATTTTTAACCCATACATATTTACTTATAATTTGTTAAATAAACTGAACCAGTATTTTTGTGTTCTTCCAATTTTACTGATGCGAAAGGTTCATGGATTTTATAAATTAAAATAGCACTGTCATTGCCACCAGTAATAACAGTTCCTGTCGGAAATAATTCATTTGGTTCTAAATATAAAACTGAAGCTACAAAATTTTTATGATCCCTATAAGTAAGAGCCTCGGTGTAACCGGGATTTATTCTAGAAGAGCAATTAAAGAAGACTGAATTAGTTTAATGGTAGAAAAATGATGAATTTGCACTCTTACCCATTAGGATTCCACAATTTTGCAGTTTTGTCTCTAGAGCCGCTTATAATCGAGTTCTCTGGAGTAACAGCTATTGAACGAACATCTAACGAGTGTCCAAAAAGAATCGCGCTTAATTTAAACGGTTTTGCCATTTTTTTTAATTAGACTTTTTATTCTTACTTAGAAATTTTAGGTTAAGTTCGCCGATTTTTTGATTTGACGTAATCTATGACTTGACGTGTAGCAAGTGTACTTTTTACTTTTTACCCATTCTTTACTTATAAGATTTCTATGGATGCATTCATAGATAAGAAGTACATATTAGAGTACGTTCACACAAATCGCAAGCTTATGTTCGCGGTTTTTCCTGTTTTACTAGGTTCTGAGCGTTTTATTTGACATTTCAAGTGGAATGGGTTTGAAGTATGCTTGAATTCAATGCCTTTTGTGCCATTTGTGTCCTAAGCGACCAATGGTTGACTAGATAGAATGACAATCTTTTAAAAGGTTATATGTTTTATATTATTATGATGAAATAACTTCCCTTATACAATAATTGAATAGGATCAATACCCACCGACGTAGTTTATGTCGATGTTAATACCAATCCCAAACCTATAATCCCATTCAGACTTGATTAATTTAGCCTCTTTACTAAAAAACATGCCTAATACAATATTAAAGTATTATAAACAGTTAATTAAAAAGAAGACTCACCCCTAATTACCCATAAAACTTTTTGAGCAGACACGTGTTTCGCCCACTTAATACGTGGGCATTATCAACGCTTTTTTTAAATTTATGCTGTGGACAATATATACACATTGAAGGGAATACTATAGGTACACTACAACTGACTACAACGTTTATTTATACTGTGGACAATAGATAAACGTTAAAGGAAATATCGTAATCTCTATTCAAGTACAATATGCAGTAATATTATCTATGGCAGTAATAATGATGTTATGCATTCTCACCATTCTCACCTTCTTTAACCACAGAAAGTAGCGTTCGTAGCGTTCTAAACGATTTATATCCGTTGCCATATTCACACAACTCCACTTTACTGATCGTATAAAAATATGCTATTTTATGAAAATCATAATTGTTGTTTGGTTTTTACGACTCTTTGAAAATTAGTTGGCAAATGTCAAGTATTTAATCAATTGTTTTCTTTGGTAAAGCTCATTTTGGAAAAACAAAAGAGGGGAATTTCTAATTGGCTGAATAGCTGAGAAGTTCAAATCGGTTCAAATGTCAAAAAATATTTGTCTATCAACAGTGGATCAATTTGTGTTTGACGAAGTATTGCTTTGATTGTTTCAGTCAAGTTTTAGTTTTAAAGTTGATACTTTGAGTTAACAAATTTTACAATGGGTAATTCCTTTGGACATATCTTCGAGAATGCCTATAACTTATATATGCACCCCGATATTACACCTAGTCCTTTAGATGAGCCTAGTTACGATCCAAATTTTGGATTTCCTAATGGTCGTGTCGAAAGAGGTTATTTATGTAATATTTTTATTTCGTAAAAATAAGAGAAACGATTCATGTTTTAGTTTCAAAGGCAACTAAAGAAGAACTGATCTCTGCTAAAGTACCACTTAATAAACGTGATTATTGTGCACATTTAGGGATTGCATATAAAGCTTGTAGGAAAGACCATTGGCCATTTGCTGTGAAATGTTCGCATGAGAAACATGCTTATCTAAATTGTGAATATGAAGAGTAAGTGCTATTAAATAGCAATTTTATGCTGTTGTATTATAATATTTTCACTCGGGGCATAATTGAATACAATTTATTAATTGAATAAAACCTATACAACTTATAAGGCACCAATAGCAGGGCCCAAAGCGAGATACTAA